CCAAGGAATTGGTTCCAGAATACTAATACTGCTTGCAGAAGACTAAATACTTCCTATAGAGGACCAAAAATTCCTTGCGGAAGACAAATACTACCTATACACTACTAGAAACTGTTTGCAGAAGATATATATTATCTATGGAAGGTTAGGTACTGCTACCAATACCCAAGGAATTGGTTCCGGAATACTAATACTGCTTGCAGAAGACTAAATACTTCCTATAGAGGACCAAAAATTCCTTGCGAAAGACAAATACTACCTATACAATACTAGAAACTGTTTGCAGAAGATAGATATTGTCTATGGAAGGCTAGGTACTGCTACCAATACCCAAGGAATTGGTTCCAGAATACCAATACTACTTGCAGAAGACTAAATACTTCCTATAGAGGACCAAAAATTCCTTGCGGAAGACAAATACTACCTATACAATACTACAAATTGCTTAAAAAGATAGATATTGTTTATACAAGGCTAGCTACTGCTACCAATATACTACAAATTGGTTGCAGAATACTAATACTGCTTGTAGAAGATTAAATATTGCTAGCAGAAAACTAAATACTGGTAGATAATTTTACAAGCTCATTTACGGCGGTAGTTTTTAAGTTTTTGTTGATATAATTTTTTGATTTTGAGTCCCATAAACATGGGTACATTCTATATAAACCTATAAATTTTTCCCAAAAATCTTTTTCGGCGAACGTCGCAATCCCATATATGTTGACTTTTGCAAGGCGCCGGAGCCTGCCACGGTCTTGAATCCGTCGCCGCTGTCGATGCCGTCGCATGAGTCCTGACGCTTCCCTATACACGATGCTTCATGTGGCTCGACTTTTGGCGCCGCTGCATGCGACGCCACAAGAACCGTCGTGTATGGTCCGCTTTAAGAAAAGTACGGCTAACAGCTCGTGAGGGAGGACTCTGGGACAAAATCGTGTTTTTTAATTTTTATACATAAATATAAAATAATCATATATAACTATATTTGGAACCAGTTAGTATAAACCTTAACATTATTTTAAATTAAATCGTTCAACCTAAACATATTCACTCAATATTAATTACGCGTCATCGCAATTTACGAAACCAATTTGCTTCAACCAACAGTTTTAGAATGAGCGGACGTATTAGGATGTATAAGCCAACATCCTTTATCGCAGACAAATAGCCTATGACGAGCATAATCGAACGATGTATTCTAGGAGCCGAGACATGCCGATATCTTTGAAAATTAAAGACTAAATTAAAAATTAATAAAAAAATAGAATTGCTATAATATGTTTGGATATTGACGCTAAAATTTAATAATAGATCTTTTTAATTTTTGTTTGGTTTTCGGATTGTGAAAGTAAAATATTTCTACAATTCTTATTAAATTATTCAAAAATAAATGTTTATAGATTCGTTTATACACCTAATCGAAATGTAGACGCTCAAAATGCACTTCTTTGTGCGTGGCACCTCAAAATTTTTTTCGCCACTGACGGCTAAACCAGAATGTTTCTGGATAGAGCGCTAGTTAGTATAAAATATCACTATGTTGGATATTTCTATTGCTCTAAAACTAGAACTAATACTAGACCCAGAACTAGAAAGTAGGTATACCCTGATTTCTATGATATATTTTTGTTTATTGCATATTAAGTGAAATTCACTGTAATATCACTATTATCTGTAACAACTAACATTAATAAATATTAAAAGAAAAATTAATAATAATTTTTTTAATTTTAGATGAAAGATGAAGGAATCTGGACAATGTATACAGGTTTAATAGACAGAAATGGATTTTTATTAGCTGGTGGTCACGATGGACGCGTTCGTTATTTCGATTTAGAAGACCCTCCAAATTCTAGAATTGCTATTCACAAAGCCATCGATCCATTAATGGGTTGTACCGTGAAATACCATGAACGTTTAATCGACGGTATTCCTGTCGTTGTTGAAACGTTACCTTCAATATTAGACGATAAAAAGAATGCGGGAAAAGCAGACGAAGTTCCTCGAGCTGGTCCAGAACCCCCACCAATGGGCCATATAAATTCAATCACTGATATTACCATTTGTAAAGCTTCACAATGTTTTATGGTCACCGGATCAATAGATGGTGTGATTAAAGTGTGGAAATAAAGTTGATTCATCAAATTGATCAATTATCATTGTTTATTATGTATTTATAGTTGGTTAATAAGCATAAAAGTGATCAACTATTAAGAAGTATTCTATAAACATGGTTACTATTATAATATTTTTTTGTGGATGTATTTAATTAGTTAATCCGATTCGTTTTTAAGTGTAATAAATAAAGTTTTATTTACTTTTGTGTTCTTTTTTTGTTATAGTACATGACTCGTTAACTTATGAACACGCTGTATATACTTATATACAGCACGTATTTATGTTTTCATCTTTTTGTGACCTCATTTAATCAGATGTGATAAACACAAAAGGAATTTATTTCTTCTCCGTTATCTACCCGATAACACATACATCCTAATTATCTATTTTCGGTACGTTTTTTTACCGCGAATGTCATTCATCGAAAAAGAGAAAATGTCATGAATTCTAACCTAAAATAATTTTAATTTAAGTACTAATAAAAAAGTAATTGTTAATTTTTGAGATGGAAGTGGACCCTTTGAGTGTCATCCTGGTGAAGTCTGATAGCAAAGGCGACCGTTTACTCTTCAGATATCCTTTTTATGGCACCGAAAATAATGAAACATCGGATACAAGAAAAAAGAACCTGTATACTTTACCAAACGTTGAGGATTTATTGCAATCACCCCCTCAACCGTCTTCAAACATAGAAAGCGGATTTTTAAAAGGATTTTCCGACGAATTTCTCTCATCTCTGTTTGCGGTTAAGTTGGAATTGTGTGATAGAAAGTTCGAATTGAAAGTGAACGATGTTCGATTTGTGAGTCACCCCACACTTTTACAAAGACGAAACAAATCTCAGGACGAATCAGGGTTGTTATTGATTAATATAGTTTTTGCACTGCAAGCAGTTGCCAGTCATTCTGTAGGTAGATATCTTTGCTACCAAACATTGATGATTTTTCTTATGGAAAACATGGGATTTTTTAGTTAAATGTTATCATGATTTGAGTAAAAGAATTGGTATCATTTTGAAACATGAAGAACAAAGATGTAGTTTTATATCGGATCAAATGCAACTTATGATGGCTGCACATGATGATGGTTGTGCAAATAATAGCTGTTTATCATTCAAAATGATTTTGGAGAAATGTATTTTGGCACAGAACATTAAAAAAATGTATGAAGATCTTTCTAGTTCAGGTAATAATTAGGGAATTTATATTTATTTAATTTTTTTTTTTATAACAAGTTTTTTGTACATTTTAGGTTTAGTTAATATAAGAATAAATAAATGGATACCTTTAACGTTTTGTTTACCACAAAAAGTACATCAGTGGCATTTAAGAGGGAAAATTGTTGAACCTGAAGATATTGAAAAGTTAGTTTAGTTCTGCAATTTCATTTAATTTAACAGATTCTTTATAATCTAAACATTTGTTACTTCATAAACGTTTAATTACTTCTTCCTCAACAGTTCTTTTCCACATCTTTTTTTTTTTTTATCTCAACTGTTCCATGTGACTTCTTTAAGGGGGGGAATCTCTTTTTTTCTATTAAATAAAGTGATATCTTTCGGAATTTTTGGCTGACAAACTAAGTCAAACTTTTGCGTAAGTTTAGAACATATATTTATTTATTTAAAAACACATTTGTTTATAAGAAATAACGCCTGCTATGTCCTTCAACAATGTTGTCACTTGAAGTGTCTAAATCGTTGGTTGACACGATATCCACCCTTGAGACGATTTGAAACTGAAAAATCAAATGGTGTTCTCTTCTATATACATGTGATTATCGTCTGAACTAGAATTAAGCAACAAAAAAAATTATTGACAAAATGGCGCCTAGTTAAATCAAAATAACCGATTTTGCTCTTAAAATCGGTAAGTTTATTGCAAAAAAAGCATACAGTGCGCGGCAAAATTATGGAACATATTCAATAAATTGATAACAAATTTTTTTTTGCAAAAATGCCGAAACGGGTCACTTTTGGTTAATCATAACACACATTATGACACCATATTCACTTCCTGATAATCATTTTTTTATGAGTTATGACGTCATCGACATTTTTTTTAAATGGCACCATATGCATTTGTTTACAGAATCTGAAAGTATATATTTCTCTGCGACTAACGATGTAAATATCGATATAGGTTATATAAGGAAAATTTTGAGAAAATTAGGTTTAAAGGTACAAATTTTATTTTTTTTTTCTGAACTTAAAAATAGTATTACCCATGGGTAACCATGGAAACGCTTTGTTTGGCTTTAATAATGTCTATTCAAAAACGTCAAAATTAGTTTTGTGAGTGTTTAATTGAATTGAAACAATTTTTATAGCGATTAATTCCTGTATTTTTGCATTGTTTTCTGTGTTGTAATTGTTTGTGTATTTTTTTCTGTTTTATGTTGTTTAGTTTTGTATTAGTTATTTTGCGTTATATTCTGATTGAGATTGTTATTTGTTGTTATTTTTTGCCGTGTTCTGTGTTCATTAGTCCAGTTTTGTTCAATATTTGTTACTGTTTTGTTTTTATTTTTGAGCATTTGTTGTTACGTATTTATTTTAAAATAATTATGGCTCATTTAAGTGAAACCCAACGCACAGAAATTTTAATTCTTATTGGATGTGGAGATAAAACCCGAACACAACAAGAGGTATGCAATTTGTTTAATGCAAAGTACCGTGACAGAGTTATTAGTAGATCAACAGTTAGCAAAATTGACAAGAAATTTAGAGAAACTGGACATGTTAAGCACATTGCACATGCTGGACGTCCTAAAATCAACGAAAACGTGAAACTTAATATTTTATTAGCTGTTGAAGATGATCCCCATAGTAATTCGAGACAAATTGCAGCGGATCATCAAGTTTCTCAGCGATCTGTACTACGTGTGCTACGAGCAGAGAGGTACCATCCCTACAAAGTGCAATTAGTGCAAGAACTCAATGAAGATGACATAGATCGCCGCATGGAATTCTGTGAAATTATGCAGAATCGATGTGACCGTAATCCACTCTTTATTTACAACGTTTTATTTTCGGATGAAGCTACATTTTGCCTGAATGGCACAGTAAACCGACAAAATTGCTGATACTGGAGTAACGAAAATCCTCATTGGATAAGCGAGGTACCCTCAAAAAGTGAATGTATGGGCAGGCATAATTCACAATAAAATCATTGGCCCTTTCTTCTTTGAACAAATTCTGACAGGTCAACGATATCTGGAGTTTTTGAGGAATGAACTGATGCCTGTCCTTTTAGAAGCATTCCCAAATAATAATAACCCCAACTTACTGGACGACAATATTTGGTTTCAGCAGGATGATGCACCTCCGCACTTTGCACATCCTGTTCGCGAATTTCTGAATAATAGTTTCCCTGAGCGGTGGATTGGCAGACGGGGGCCGATAGAATGGCCCCCCAGATCCCCAGATCTTACACCCCTTGATTTTTTTCTATGGGGTTATCTAAAATCAAAAGTGTACGCTGAGAAACCACTCAATGTAGACGCATTAAAAAATTGTATTAGCGCTGAAATTCGTAATATTAGTCCGCAATTTATTTATAATACTTTGAAAGAATGTATGAATAGGTTTGCTTATTGTCAAGAAGTGGGTGGAGGGCATTTCGAACAATTGATTAAATGATTAGAATCAGAATTTATTTCTCTTTTATAACATAATTCATATTCTACGGACATTAAATAACTTTAAATATTAAAACTTAAAAACTTGCACATTAAAACTTAAATTATTAGTGGTTTTAATAGAGAATAAAAAATTAAAGAACCATGACAACGTACATGGTTACGCATGGGTAATACTATTTTTTTTGTTCATAATAAAATAAAATTTCTAAAATAACTAATACAAAACTAAACAACATGAAACAGAAAAAAAATACAAACAAACAATTACAACACAGAAAACAATCCAAATACACATATACACGAATTAATCGCTATAAAAATTGTTTCAATTCATTTAAACACTCACTAAACTAATTTTGACGTTTTTGAATAGACATTATTAAAAGCAAACAAAGCGTTTCCATGGTTACCATGTGTAAGGCTATTTTTACGTTCACAAAAAGAAATAAAATTTGTACCTTTAAAGCTAATTTTCTCAAAATTTTCCCTATGTAACCCATATCGATATTTACATCGTTGGTCGCAGAGAAATATATACTTTCAGATTCTGTAAACAAATGCATATGGTGCCATTTAAAAAAAATGTCGATGACGTCATAACTCATAAAAAAATGATTATCAGGAAGTGAATATGGTGTCATAATGTGTGTTATGATTAACCAAAATTGACCCGTTTCGGCATTTTTGCAAAAAAAAAATTGTTATCAATTTATTGAATATGTTCCATAATTTTGCCGCGCACTGTATGTATATAAGGTATCAGTTTCTCTGTAGGTCAAACGATAGAAAGATGCTTTCTGAATGTACAGTTAAAATTTCAAGTCAATCGATTGAGTAGTTATTTAGAAATCATGTCAACCAGTTGTAAAAAGTACGTTTCGAGAAAAACGCATTTAAAGTTTTAAGTACAATTTGTGAATTTATATTCAATACTTACTTCTAATCTGCTATACCAAGGCCGTACACTATTCCTTCTTCTTGCTCGTTGAAATCTGCTTTCTCCTGTTGATGCAATTTTTGTTGAGTATGAGCTTGTTTTGTCGCTTGAAGCCGAGTGCTCCAAACGCTTTTCATCCCGAAAGTTGGCATAAATTTGAGTCTGCTCACCAATTTGAATTCCCATTGTTTTCATAACTTTTAAAATAGCAAAACAGCCTTCATTAAAAATGCTGGCTGCTATATAAGCGGATATTTCAACTGTTTTTAAACCACAGTGTAGATGTTTGGGGGCTAAACGCCAAACAGTAGAATTGAAGCTTTCATTATTATTTTGAGTTTCACCACCCAAACATCTTTCTAACAATTCTTTTGATGACAAGTCTTCATATATTGGCTTTATAGCGGTTGCAACATCCGGATGAAGTGTCGATTCGTGGTCGAATTCATCCAGTTTTCCCTTGGCTAGGTAGATGTTTGGGGGCTAAACGCCAAACAGTAGAATTGAAGCTTTCATTATTATTTTGAGTTTCACCATCCAAACATCTTTCTAACAATTCTTTTGATGACAAGTCTTCATATATTGGTTTTATTGCGGTTGCAACATCCGGATGAAGTGTCGATTCGTGGTCGAATTCATCCAGTTTTCCCTTGGCTAAGTAGATGTTTGGAGGCTAAACGCCAAACAGTAGAATTGAAGCTTTCATTATTATTTTGAGTTTCACCACCCAAACATCTTTCTAACAATTCTTTTGATGACAAGTCTTCATATATTGGCTTTATAGCGGTTGCAACATCCGGATGAAGTGTCGGTTCGTGGTCGAATTCATCCAGTTTTCCCTTGGCTTCGGCTTTAC